CAAAACTAATTTGACATAAATGTCAAAAAGTTCGACATAACCTTAAATCTTGTTTACCTTTAGTTTAGTTTGCTATTTTATGAAATTTAATGGATATAAAAGAATTATATAGCAAAAATTATAAAAAATATACAAAATAAATAAATTTGTATCTAGTAAAAAATGAAAATATTTACCTACCATTTAACAATACATTCGCCGTTTCCTCATCTACTTCTAAATTTATATCCCTTCCCTGATGATTAAGGCTTATATTTACCATTCGAATTTCAATCATTTTTAATTTTAAAATTAACTGAACCGTTGGTTTAACCCAAAAACCCGGTAAAATTAGCTAAACTCAAAAGCTCGATATCGAGAACTGTCAAACATAGTAAAAATAAACAAAAAACTTGCATTAAAAAGAGAAGAATATTTACCGCTACCAGTAACACTACTCAACATCTGTGTTACTCAATTCTTAACCGCGGTTACTGATTTGACATTTCATGCAGTTACCGGTTACTCGCTAAAATATAATGGTTTTAACTTTTTATTACCGGTAACTCGCTAAAAATTCCCTAATGTAATCGTAAGAGTCATAAGTGTTGCACCCGCGATTCTAATATTTTGATCGCGGGTGCAACTCATTTTAGTCAACGTTAATTTTAATTAAAATGACAATATACCTTCCATTGCGACTGAATCAAGTTTTCCTTTTATTTCTTCTTACTTCTACAAAGTTTCAAAAAATTACCAATTTATTTCTTCAAGAAAACCAAACTTTTATTTCTTTTATATCGCGGGTGCAACTGACCAACAATGGTTTCTTATTTAATCAATATTGTTAGAAAAATAATAATAAATATTTAATTTTTTTATATAAGGCAATAAACAAATGTTATTACTTCATTATTCATCAGTGAAATATAACCTCAAACCACCGGTTATAGCGATTTCGTGGAAAAATTATGAAGTGTCGATGAATGGTTTGCATCAAGTTTTCAGGCGCCACCATTTCTGAGCGCGCCAAATATTCAAATAATAACTTAAGTTCTTCAAAGTTTTTTTATTATTAAATTTATATCTTTCTCTTTGTATTGGTATAAAAAAAAACAAATACTGTGATTTAAAAGTTTATGTCAAAAATCGTCTTCCGCGGAATCGCCCCAGGGTGGTTCAGGATTATTCTGAAAAATTTTAATGATTGATAGAGCCTGAAAAAACAATAAAAAAAAACCCAAAAACATTTTTTTTAAATGCATACTAACGGAGATATAGTCCTTTTTAAACCATTAAACCGATTCTTCTCAAATTTTGTGTAGGTTAAGCTTCCGTCGATAATATAATAAAAATTTCATACAAAAGGCCTAGTGGCGAAGATTTTGGGGGGATTCTCATTTTTACCCTTATATTTTCGACGCCACTGGATTTTATTAGAAAATCATCAGATTTATTTTTATCCCTTTTCAATGTAAAAGCAAAACTTTTATGTTAATTTTTTATTAGATCAGTGGTTTCGGAGATATTTCAGTTTAAAATTTCAAAAACACTGTGTACACGGAACTTTTGTTATTATTTTAGTAATAAAAAATGATTTTTTTTCTGAACGTTTGTTTGGCCAATAAAAATTTACCAATGGAATAATCGCTTTCAATAGGGTGGTTTTTGGGATGGTTTGATTTTGTATTATAATACAATTAAATTATTGATTACAAACGTTGATTGTAATTATCAATCAACGTTACAATAAAACAACCTAAAAATATGACAAGATCAATAACAACTGCACGATGACTCCTAGACGCTAGTTTATTTTTATAATATTTTATCTTGAATCGATAACTTGGTAACAAATTATAACAGTAACAGTAGCTTGTAACAAATTATAATAGATTTTCAAAATGCATTCCCCCAGCATCCAAAGTTTGTTGTTGAAAGCACTTCTGTCATATTGCTTTTGGGTTATCCTGTGCCTAAGCATGGAGATTGTGAAACAAAATTGGGCTCTTCTTCTGCTGATTCCAGGACCCACCTACAAAATGCCATCCTTCTCTCTGCATCTCAAGGAAGAAGATTTTAAACCGGGCGGTAATGATAAGGTTTCTGGTGGTTGTCATGAAGAACTCTTAGAATATTTGACTTTGAGGTATTCAGTCTTAAAGCAGCTTTCCGGGAGCTCACCCCTGGATCATTTTGAAAAGTTATCCTATTTCTATTCCTTCGTCTTAATCTTGGTTCACGTACATTTTGTTCATTATTATTTCGTAGTCCAAAGCCTTGAAACCTTTGGTGAGAGTCGATGATAACTTGGACGTTGGGTATTCTTTTGTTGGGAAAACGTCTTTGGTACTCCCTACCTGCTGCTAGCGCATTTCCATATCTGCATATTCGATGTTGCTAAACTGATAACGTGGCATAATTGCTACCGATTTAAAATAAAATATTATGATAAAACTCCGTGTACTCGGTGATTTTGAAATTTTAAAGTCAAATATCTCCGAAACCACTGATCTTATGAAAATTTAACAAGTTTGCTTCTAAATTAAATAAGAAATCTGATGATTTTCCAATAGAATCCAGTGGTGTCGAAATATGGTGGTAAAAAGGGGAAACCTCCCCAAAATTTCCGCCGTTTGAAATTTTGTAAAAAATTTTACCCACAAAAAATTTGAGCCGATTTGAGCAGAATCGGTTTATAATGGTTTAAAAGTTAATTAAAAAAAACCGTTTTTTTGCCTTTGAAGGGCTATTAGTGTGTTGGTGTGTATTTTTGAAAAATGTTTTTGGGTTTGTTTTAATTGTTTTTTCAGGCTCTATCGATTATTAAATTTTTTCAGATTAATCCTGGACCACCCTGTATATTAAACTAAAAATTACAAAAATCTAAACAAAATTTTGACCCACGACCCCTTACAAAAACGAACTGATCTTTAAAAAAGAACAAGTTTCATCTCAATTATTATTATTTTATATTGATATATTGATTTTAAACAACAAAAAACTATTTAAATTTTCTAAAAGTTAAAATCAAAGGCGATTTTATAAATAAAAGTGGACTAAACAAGTTTGAAAAATTTAGTTAAAAAATTTATTTAAAAACCCCTAATTGCGATGCCTTTATAAAGCTTGTGGGGAACAAACCCGACAGTTAGCAAGAGTGGTCCCCAAGAAACAAAAAGTTAGGAGCACTGAAGGGATATGTCAATCATAGATAATAAATAAGAGTTGGAGTAGCGAGCGGTACCCAATTTTTACAATTTATAGTTCGGGGAGTAGCACTGAAGACGATGCGTTTACAGCCTGATTTATAGATTCCCTTCCTTCCTTCCTCCTGTAAAAGATGAACAATATGAAAACCGAAGTGCTGTTTATAGATTCCCGTACGGAAATCTATAAACAAAACGGTTTTCGTATTGTTTATCTTTTACGGGATGGCAACATTGCACAGCAGTGTCGCCAATAAGAGAATATTTATATTCTACGCTGTTTTGAGTAGTTTAACAACTTTTATATATAATATATAATAAAGATATGTATCTTTGGAGTTATTGTCACAACAAACGTTTTTTGAAAATAGATAATATATATTATATAATATAATAAAAAAGCTGTCTTTATTAAAATTCTAACTTCTAGTAGTAAAAAAGGGGAAAAATGTGGACTCCTGCTTCTCAAAAACCTATACGTCATCTGTACTATAATTTTTCTAAAAAATACTATAATTAAATTGAGAAAATACTATAATGTGCATTAGGGTGTGTCATTTTTGAGCAACTTTTTTTTTTCAACTAAAAAACAGGCTAAAAACTTTCAGGAAGGTGAAAAAAGAAGCCTCTAAAAATTTGAGCTCTTAATAATAACATTAAATGATGCCTGTTCCTAACTTTCCATTTTCCATTTAAATAACATGGAGAAAAAAAAAAACTTTTTTCTAATTTTTGTATCTTGACATTTAAGCATTGTAAAAACGAACTAAAAAATTATTTTGGTAGGAAATTGAACGCTCTACAAAAAAGTACTAATTTATTTTTTCATACAGTAAGCCGTTCTGAAGGTATTCAAACTTGCAAATGTATGAAATTATGAATTATTTTATTAAACTAATACTTTTTTTATGTCTTAAAAATTATTTTAAGAAAAAATAATTATTTTCGTATAGAAAGAAAATAACACTTACATCTCAATTTTTTTTCCATTTTATTTTATTTACTATCAAAAAAAGTTATTTGTAATCAATAAATTTGTTCAATAATTATAATAGATTAAATAAAAGAATGAACTTGTTATTGTATTGAATTTTTAATCTTACTTTATTTATTATAATTTTAAAGTCGATATATCTGATAAAAGATTATATCGGCTCAGTCGGTATAATACCGTTCGGATTACACATGTTAAAGGCAACTTGCTAAGTTTGAATACCTTCAGAACGGCTCACTCTATGAAAAAATATATTGAAACTTTTTTGTAGAGCGTTCAATTTCCTACCAAAATAATTTTTCAGTTCGTTTTTACAATGCTCAAATGTCAAGCTACAAAAATAAGAAAAAAGGAAAAATTTTTTTCCATGTTATTTAAATGGAAAATGGAAAGTTAGGAACAGGCACCACTTAATATAAATATTAAGAGCTCAAATTTTTAGAGGTTTCTTTTTTCACCTTCCTGAAAGTTTTTAGCCTGTTTTTTTAGTTGAAAAAAAAAGTTGCTTAAAAATGACACACCCTAATGTGCATCTCAAGAGTTGGCAACCCTGGCGGCTCGTCAGTGTATGATGAATTTCATCCATTAAGTCACTAGCGTGCCCGTAAAAACTAAATTGCAGGCACTCTAACGTGCACGTAGTCACTGCGTTAATAAAATCAAAAAGAATCTTTCAACTTTGACATCCTGTATCTTGGTTAATATCAACTTTTGTTTAAAGGTTAATTTAGTTATATCGCAATATTTTGGTACACCTTGTATATTTAATTTTTTTTATAGTTTATCAAAATGTTTTCTTATTTTCTTATTTTTTTTAGCATCATGAGCAAGTTCAGAAATACAGTTCAACATTAGAAACTCTACTTTTCACTCAAGACTTGGATCCACACATCCTGGAAGTTTTCCAACAATTTATTTCATTGAGATCATAATTTTATATTTTTAGGGTTTTTGTGAATATTTTATTCGATTTATTTAAAATATTTTAGATTTAGATTTAACTGCTTGAACATTGATAGTATTATAAATTATATTAGGTGTGTTCAACAGTAAATAAATTTATACAAAAACAAGTTATTTATTTATTTATTTCTCCTTTTCTTAAATTTTAATCCAAAACATGTTTTGGATTAAAATTTAACATTAATCAAGTGGCTGGTGAGTTTGGTTGCGTTACGTTGGCAACAATCTCATTTGATTTTTGAGGTTATGCATATGTTCCGTCAGGTTATGTTTATCGTGTGTTGATACCTAAAAACGCAATAACAAAAAGCAAGAAACATGTCTGTGTGGAAAAAGGCGGCGAAAGCCCACCAAAAAACTCACCGTGAGCGTCACCAACCAGACGAACGCAAACATTTGGGAATACTAGAGAAAAAAAAGGATTACGTTCGAAGAGCACAGGATTTCAACGAAAAGAAGGAAACGTTGAGGCTTTTGCGTAAAAGAGCGTTAAATAAAAATCCCGATGAGTTTTATCATCACATGCTTAATTCCAAGGTGGAATCTGGGCAACACTTTGAGAAAGAAACCGAAGACGAAGATACCACCGATCAAGTAAAGTTAATGCAAACCCAGGATTTAAAGTATATTACCATGAAGAAAACCGAGGAACACAAAAGAATAGAGAAACTACAATCACAACTACATCTATCCAGCGTGGCCAATAAAATGCAAAACAAACACATTTACTTCGACGGACCACTAAGCAAAAAGCAAAAAAAAAGACGTGAAATGGAACAGTTGGCAACTATGGAGTTACCCGATGTTGATTTGGAGAGTTTAGTTGAGAGTACACGGAAAAGGAAAGCTTTATATAACGAGTTAGGGAAGAGAATTGAACGGGAAAGAGAGTTATCGATAACACAGCAAAAAATCGAAATTAATAGACATTTAGAGAGTAAAACATGTTTGAAGCCCAAAAGGGTTAAAAAGGGTAGTAAATTTAGTGCCCCTGTATATGAGTGGAAATATGAGAGAAAGAAGTAGACAATAAACATTTTTTTAAGTAATTTTTGGGTTTTACTTTTTTATTCCTCTAAATAAGTAAAAATATTGAAGAAAAAGCAGGCTTTGACATTTTGGAAAAGTTGGCAAGACTGCTTTTATTAATTATCATCACATTAAAGCTAAATATACCAAAAAAGTATTTAAAACAAAACGCAGTATTAGGTAAAGCATTTAAGTATTAATTTAAATACACAAAATTCATACGCAATCGAAAAGTTTGCAGTCTTAAACAAAGATGTCGCTGGTAAGATTGTGTTCCATATACTTACCAGTAAGTATATGTTGTGTTCTGTGCTGAAAGCAAAGAACCAAAAACGCTTGAGAAAAGATATCAGCCTAAAGCAGAGATGTCGCTAGTATAATCAAAACGCATTTATATTTCTTAAACGTTTTTTACCAAGAGAGTTTTTAAATTAAAATATCGGTTTTGGTTTAGGTAATAGGTATAGAATTTTTAAAAGTAATTACAGCTGCCTTTGACATGTTTGGCATAGGTGGCAGGCCTGCTTTTGACAATTGCCATTTTGACAGTATTTGACATAATTCAGTCCACTTAATACCTACCTTTTATTAAATTTAAAGTTTAAATTACTTTTAAATGTAAATCGTGGTAAAATGTTGTGCTTACTCCTTAATGAATACATTTTGGTACGTATATTTTTGTTTATATCCCAAATTACGGCTCCGCAAACAAAAAAAATGCAAATGGGCCCCCGCTAAATAAATTAGGGTCCATTATTTGAAACAAAGCCTTGATTAATACTTTTCACAATTTCGTTTTTGGCGATGTTTATAGGGTTATTAACGTGTTACTTCACTGCTTAATAACGTTTGTTTTCTCTTAAATTATTACGGTCGTAAAAAATAAATTCGCTGAATCTCTGAATAATGCATTATTAGTGTTTTAAGCTACAAATATTTACCATTGTTTTAAGCATTTAATGGTTTAATAAACATGTAAAACATAGACGTTATATTCGTGTAAGTAAATGTAAAATGCAACGTTTAAATAATATTTTTAAATAAATTTTCAGGGAATAGTTAAGTAGGTAATACTACCTATTTAATAAGAGTGTTCCATTGGAATTAAATGGCACAAAATTGCTATAATTTAAAAGTTTATTAAACTAAAAGAACGATTCGAGTTCCCATCCAAAGTTTTAAAGCGGTGCACAGTGGTCCCAAGCGGTTGAAAAGCTGGACAAATATAAAATTGTTAGAACATTTTTCTGATATTTACTATAACTAGTATACAAGTGTTTTTTGGGCCAAGAAATTTAAAATCAAGGATAAAATTCTTGAAAACAAAACAGCAATATTGTCGAAAATTTCCGATGGATTATTAAGTTATAGGTATTAGAATTTCGTCAAATTATATGAAATATAATATGATATATAAAATATAAAAAATTATTTTTTTATATAGGTACAGGGTGTTTCACGTTCGTGGTCCATTAAAACTTTCTGGGAACGGCAAAAGATATCGTTTTATATAAATATTTTATATAATATTTTTATAAAAAACATGCAAAAAAGTATAGTAATTGCACATGTTATATAATTGGACACATGGACCATATTTATTGGACATACCTACAATTTTTATATAAACATAACAACTTTACATCAAATAAATAAATTGTTAAATATTTTTTAAAGATGAATTGCTGTTTTAGGTAATTTTTTTTATTTTGTTTTTGTAAATATCATATAATTTATATATTTCTTTTTCGGATTCCTCATCACTTTTCTGGATTCTGAAGGTAACTACTAATTCCTTGGTCTGACTTCTGAAATAGTTTGTTGCAAATATCATTAAGTGTGGTATCTCTAGTTTGTGAATCATTTATAATGTTTAGGCCGGAACAGGATGATTTATATATATATATATCTAATATTTTTTCGGGTGGTATGTTAAAAGTATTTTCCGAATTTATTAATTTTGTTGCCATTAGTTTTTTATGTTCTATATCGTGCACTGTATTTAAATCACTGTTATTCTGTAAGATGTCCTGTGACAAAGAAATCACTATATTACTTACTCTCTAAAAATTAATTAGTCAAAAATGTCATAGCGAAAAAGCAGCTAATAATAATTCTCGTCAACAGCAATTTGTATCCAGGACATTTAGCAGTCAATTCCTATGAAATATTGTTAGGTGAATCCGAAAATTTCGTCAAAAGTTATAAAAGTAGAACAGTTTTTAAAATATAATCAATTTTACATACAATATGGAATTGACTATATCTAAAAAGCTTTTATAGTTTTTGACGGTCTTTTCGGATTCAGGGTACAATTTTACATAAGGATTGGCTGGTAAGTGTCCGGGATATAAATAGAGTATTATATTGGACTTATGTCCAATAATAGAAATTTACATTTTTTACCAACCAGTAATTGGACACTGGCCATTTTACTGTTTGTTTTCAGAATTAAAATTAAAACGCATTAAAGTGACAATGTTTAAACCACGAGGAACACATTTATACCACACACTGATCTATACACTTTTTAGAAATATTTTGTATTGTAAATTAAGCCCTGCTCTTAACAAAAAATTAAAATCTTACCACCAAAGTAACGTGCGAACTTTTTTGTCCTTTATTGACCCAAAATAAAGTAGTTCTACATTATTATCGACTGAGATAGTTATAATTGTATACAGGGTCTTTAAAATGATTTGACTTTAAGGTAACTATTTATAGAACTCTTGTTTTTACAGTATTAATATTAATTGTCCAATAACTACACTCACAGGCAAAATAATCGATCCACACAAATTTTCGATGAATTTCAATCGCAAATAACTTTTTTATTTGATGTCGGATTTAAACGAATATTAAAGAATATTGTAGATAAATTAATGGACAATCGCTCACATTTAAAAAAAATTACTAAAAATTAGACGTATGTTTGTAATATACAGGTTTAAACAAAAATATGTTTTTACCATAAGTTTAAGAGACTCTGTAGAGTGTCAAAACCAGGCCCGTTCCTGGCGAGCGTGCAGTGCGTGCACGCACGCAGGCGCAACATTTCGGGGGCGCAAAATCAAAGAGTCAATCAGTACTTTGTAACGATAAACTTTCTTGCATATGATACTTAAACATACATTGGATAAAGGTTTCTGCCTTTTTTGCGTCGGCCGATCTAATTTTTGGTCGCTATAAAGCGCCTTTTGCCGCTTTGATATTGGCTGCTTATTTTGTTTTGATATGAGGATCAAAATAAAAGGAGAGAAATGGTCATATTATCTTTAGTATTTGTTTGCAGTTGACGGTAGCACAGTAGTAATTACTACTGTGCTACCGTTAACTCTCTAAAATAGAATTAGTGAAAAATGATTAATTCAATTAGTCCAATTGCAATAGCGAAAAAGCAGCGACTAATAATTATTGTCAATAGCAATTTGTATCCCGGATATTTAGCAGTCAACTCCTATGTAAAATTGTCCGCTGAATCCGAAAATGTTGTCAAAAGTTATAAAAGTAGAACGTTTTTGAGTTTTAGTAAATTTTCTATATAATATGGTATTGACTGACTATATCTTAAAAACTGATTTACTTTTATAATTTTTGACGGTATTTTCGGATTTAGGGGACAATTTTACATAATAATAAGCTGTTTAATGCCCGGGATACAAATTGCTGTGGACTAAAGTTATTAGTGGCTGCTTTTTTACTTTGAAAACTAGTCATTTTTATAGAGTACGTCACTAAAAACCAGTTGTAGTTATTATATTGTTTAGATTGTTTTTTTTGTTTTCTTTAGAGTATTTTTATCACTGACTATTTCCCTCGTCTTAATTTCCACCAATCACAAACGCGCATTTTGAACTACAAATGGTTTCTAGGTGGAAAAACTGTATGACAGCACCTGTCAGCAGTTTTTTCGAGTTTACCCGCGGCAAAACTTGACAGCTGTTGTCACCAAAAATTGCAATTTATATTTTAATTGTTAACTGTTACTCATGAAGTAGTCTTGTCAAATACCATTCGGGCATCTAACTTTTCCTGTGAAAAAAATCTTTAAAACACAATGCTAATAGTAATATTTTTTAACAAAATGCATTCGTGCAGGTGCAAAAATCCTCGTCTTCGACTCGGATTTTTGTTGCCACCAGCACTCATGCTACTTGTTAAAATATTACTTAGCAACGTGTTTTTTCGATTTTTTTCGAAAAAATAGATGCCCTTAAGGGCATAATTATGATATTACTTGTTTGTTTGGTAATTTAATAAATATTTTTTATACTTAATTTAAGCGGTTTTTTTACATTTTCAATTACATATTGCCAGTTTGTCTCAAAATATATATTTTTTAAATTTTACGGCTTAAAATTCAAATATTTAATGTATTATATTTAAATATACCTAAAAGGGGCGCACCAACGAATGCTGCACGCAGGCGCCAGACACCTCAGGAACGGGCCTGGTCAAAACAGTATATTGTTCTAAATTAGGTTTTATTTATCAAATCACATCTATTCTTAACAGTTTTTGGTTGACCTCGATATATTTATTTTTGTGGAAAATATGGATTTTTTAAAAAAATATTGCAATTTCCAATATTTTTCTGTATGAAGAACTAAGGTTGCTATGGTCCATCCATAGGCTATGAAGAATGACAGTGACAGTTTTGTTGAATCATCCCATACTTGGACATGTCATACACGGCTTTCAGAAGCTATCAAATTGTTTTATTCAAATTAATGTTTAAATTTTGAGGTGTCTTCTTACTTTAAAAAATGGATATGTCTCCGACTGATGTTGCCAGAGCCATTAATTTAATCCAGGATGGACGGTCAAAGTATTACGTGGCAAGTATTTTAAACCTCACAAGAAGTAAAGTACAAAGGGCAACATCAGTCGGAGACATTTTTAAAAGTAAGAAGACACCTCAAAATTAACAAATTAATTTACAAAAAACAATTTGATAGCTTTTGAAAGCTGTATATGACATGTCCAAGTATGGGATGATTCAACAAAACTGTCA